ACTTTGAGTAGGTGGCCCAGGGTTGGTTGTTAATGGACAGTTTTAATTGATTGATATTAGTACTTGGTTATGCATCATCTGCTCCCTTGATCAGGAAATACATTATATACTAACTATACATATTAATAAAGTCAAACTAACATTTGTAGGTTTTGTAGATGTTGAAGGATGTATACACCTTGTAGGGATGCAAGGAGTCCCAGCACAATTCAGTGAAGGTTTGAGATGAGATGAGTTTAATTTGTGACAAAAAGAGTCATTTGCGACCATAAATGTTTGAGATGATTCACAAACAGATTTGTCAAAACATGTTTTAAACAGTAATGTGTTACTGTAAAAGCAAAGTTAAAGCTTCTGGTGGGTTTGTAGGGGTTAATTTCCATTAACATTAGTACCATAATGCTCCTTTGCAAACTGCAGGTGGCACTAAGATAAGTACTTGGGCTGATTCCTGCCTGTGTAAAGGGAGGGCAATACCAAGTTGTTGGGGTATAAAGCATGATTATATATCAATTCAGATTTTCTACCAGCTGGCAAAGACTTTAAAGATCAAATAACATGTTTTGCATAAATAAATCGATGGGTCTTCATGTAAGTAAAGTTTGTTTATACAGTTCCCACCAGATTTATTAATACCCCAGATGAAACAGGAACAAAAGCCAATTTACAGCAGAATGAGTTATGGATTAGATCATGTATCTCTCTTAAAAAATTCAAATAATTCTATACTGTAATCATAATATCATTGCACAGAGCAAACCCATATTTGTCATCATTAACTGAATTTTAGAAAACAAGAGGGTCAAATTTATTAATACCTTTAAGTATTTCTTCCAATATAATTCTGCAAAACTAAATCTACAGTAGCAGTCTGCCCTTTGGAACTGTATTGGAAGCCTCTATGACTATCTAGTGGCCTCCAGAGGCTGTGAAAAGGGTGTTGGGGTGTAAAAGGAGGTACAGTGATACATGTAGTAGCATTGTATTGTGAAATGGTGAGAGCTGACTGATGTTCAGTCCCATAATCCAATTCTAAGCAATACTTTGTTGTGTAGTTTTACAGTTATGAAAATAAGTCCCATGCAAGACAGCTTGAGGGAGACCAGCTTTAGACAGTGTAGCTCATCAGCTTCATGAAGGCCAAGGCCTCACCAGGGTGTCCCAGGTTCATAACCTCAGAGAAAAGGTTGTAGAATAATGTAGTGTATTTACAGTACAGTATATCCAGAATCCTCTCATTATTTTTCATGATTAAAGTAATCAGACTGCATAGCCCCTGTGTGGAGGTTCAAAACAGTACCATTGCTTGGTTTTACCTTGTGTGTACCATGGTTTACATCATGTTTTGTCCTCTTTATGTTAAAGAAGCATTTTACCATGGTTTTACTTTAATGTTCCACTGTTTCCTTTGACTTTCCTTTGACGCTGTTGGTATATCAGAGGTGCCTTAATGCTGCATTTAAATAACAGTGTAACAATAGTCCTACTTGCTCCTAACCTCCCTCTGTCATGTGCCTGTTCTTATACCTGGCAATCGAATGCTTACAATGTGACTTGAATGGCCTCTCTTGCATTTCAAAAGGTTGTTTATTCTTGGTCCCTCTACCCTATCATTGCCCTATCTCTGCCACCACATACATACAGAAATACAGATAGATGTAGCTATTCTAGGACAGAGAATTTACACATGTGTAATGTTCCATTTTAAATGGGGTTTTGATGATGACATTCTACACCTAACTAAACTTAAGGGTCAATATAATAATTTTAACCCACACTAAAATAATATGTGGGCACTTATTAACTAAGTTCTTTTGATCTGTTTTTATGCAGTGTTCACTTTGGTGATATCTGATTTAAAAAAAAGCAACTTCCTGTGCTAAATCTATGAGCTATTGTATTTTTATTTCATTTTACTTTTTGAAATACCTCATTTAGAATCACTTGACTCATGCAAATTTTACCTAAGAAGAGTGACCTTCAGCAGAAAGTGGAGGCCACATACATTATATTAAATAGCAAAGCCATCTTATGGGGTACGCAGTGACAATTTCTGCATACATATGGAATAGGATGAGGCGACAGCAAACAAGAGTGGCTATTAAGTTCTGTCATGATGTATACTGTACATCAATATGGAACTGATGTCTTTTAAAATGCAAACAAGGTTTTAAATGATGTGCCCCTTCATTTCTGCTGGAGAATCCGCTTCGCACCATCTGCCTATCAGATGGTTAGGAACCAAGACTGCGTATTAATGCCACATGTTCGATTTTCCTCTCTGTGTACTGGCTACATTCGCACAGCTAATAGTTGTGCTTGAGTCATGTCACTGAAATGTGTGTGACAGCTAAGTGATGAGATATTTATGAAGTAACTTGTCCCTTGTAATAAACAGCCATGAAAATATCAGGCATAAACTGGTTAGCAAAGGGGCAGCTTTTACCCTTATAAGTGATTAAAACTCAAAATGCATCCATGTAGGGCCATCTGTCATGTTCACATTTTAAAAGCATTCTATGATTTCAAGTTGGTGGAACTTTAAATACCTCCCAAGAAATGAAATTAGCCCCAAGGTAACTATAAGTAACCATCTTTACTGACAGATACTTTAGAGCATATGAAACAGTTTGAAGAATTTCTTTATTTCATAGCATTTAAAATAGTCATGTGAATATAAAAAAACTGAATTAAACTGCTGTTAATGCTGATACTCACCTTTTCATCTTTGGAAAGCATGTAGTAAACCAGTGCTTTATTCGTAAATATTGCATTTGGAAGTCACACTGTTAAAGCAGAGAAAGTTGTGTAATTCTCTAAGTTATTGTATAATAACTAAGTGAAAGCTGTTGGATAGTTTTAACTACAATTTAATTATGACATTTACCTTGAATTTTGGCAGCAATTACAGACTGGAAGTGTTCCTGACACTGTCTCCTAAATTTAAAAAGGCAGCTGCTACAATACTGCACTGCTCATTCAGATGCTCTACAAATTTAGAGATTTTTTTTTCATTCATTCAATTTGCAAGTCCGCTGCCATGTTAAGGCATCTGAGGGTGGCTTAGATAAAATAAGAGCTCAATCTCTGATTTGACAGGTGCAAAATTTCATCTTTATTGTCGGTTAGCCATAGACCCACTATTACTGTGAGGTATACAGTTTTATTGTAAGGCCTCTCTATCTTTACAAAATGGTTTAATCTACAAAATGAAATGTTTCACTGTTTAGATTAGAGTGCATATAAATTGAAAAAAACCTCTTTAGGCTAGTGAAAAACAAAATTTTAATATAATATGGTTGTTTTTATTTTTTAAATAGACCAGCCTATCTGAATTACTTTCATTCACTAATAGTTACTGGACATAAAAATGCAGTACAGTTAAGGAATTATAGACAGCAAGCAGTTCATTGTTAATTGGATATATATACTAGAAACATTTACTGTCTATATTATTCACCAGAGTTAACTGCTGCTTCAAGGTTAGTTACAGAAATGAAATACAATGATGCTGAAGGTCAAAGGATCATACCTTTCTTGCACACTTGAGATTTATTTGTGCAAGAGGATCGAATGTAGCATCTCTGTATGTTTCAATGTGCTTTTGCTCCCTCGACACCTCTGTGACATCTGTAAGAAAATTCCTTTATTCTTTCAGAGTTGCATTATGAATAATATTAGTTATGTGGATAGATTTTAGTTAGATAGGCATTGCGCCAGTAAATGCCAACAGAGGAGTATGCTGTAATGACTTCACTGGCACTCTAGAACAGAGGTCTGTTCTCGTTTTTTTCCAGCCTCTTTCATCAGTTGAAATGCCATAGCCCTTTCAAGTAACTCAGGGAGGAGAATCGAAAACTACTGTGAAGCTAAGAATTTTGCTCTTTAGGAAAAATTCACTTCCCAACCCAGAGCTGCCCTTTCAACTGTGCAAAATACAAAAGAGTGAACATTTTATCATCATTAAAGCCACTGAAGCTGGGAATTATGACATTCTTTATTTTGCTGGTTGTATTGATACCAGCTTTCTTGCATCAAAATGCCTTTACATTTCTATTAACATCTTCTTCCATACACTGTTGCTGGCACATTTCATTTACAAACACAAAATAAAGACAGTATGTCAGTTCATCTGTGTTAGTCTGACTCCATCTGTCACCAACAAAAAGCAATGGCATAAACACATTATTATAGAGCACACCAGTGTCCTAGGGGCACACAATATTGCAACCACCAGATACACAGAAACTATGTTCTGTGCCATATTTCTAGTGCCATTTAAAAGTGTACTCTCCTCATGCTTCCCCAGTGTATAGCTCATTACAAATCATTATTAGTTGCACAAGGAAACATCAGCTACACTGCTATCCTATAGAACAAATAATTGCTGTATAAAAGACATAGTGGTAGTTTATACAGTTTATACTGTATATATACTGTTAACATTCTATGCATGTAAAATAAGAGAAAGCATGTTGAATGTAAGACATTTTGTCTGAACCCCCCTCCCCTCCAAAAAAAAGATTTTATATTGATTTCAGCCTGTTTCTTTTTAGTTTTAACTTAGTTGTGCACTGCAGCTCAACCTGGTATAAAACCTATGTGTGTATGCTCTGTATGCGGACACACCTTTCATCGGAAAACTCCGATGAAAAAATGCCTTTTTTATATTGACATTCACTCAGAAGCAATCCTAAAATAACACAGTACCAAAGCAATATATTTAGGATGGAATCTTTACTGCTGAATATTCCAGTACAGACTTTGCAACTCCAAAGTTTAGTAAATCACAACATGGCATGCAGCGTTAGGCTGAAAGAGCCATCGGATTGGGACGAGGCTTTGGAAGGAGCTGTGCCTGTGTTCTAGTGAAATTGGCACGGGCCGATCTGCGTCCCAGAAAGGCCCTGAAGCAGGGGGGCGCCGAGCGGTGCTGTCTGCCCCCGCAGGAGGGGAGCCCCCCAGTCCTGCCTCACGTGTTGTTTGTTCTCGGTCACCAGGCCTCACAGCCGCCGCGGCAGCGGCCGCGGCCGCCACGAACGCCGCCATCGCTGAGGCCATGAAGGTGAAGAAGATCAAGCTCGAGGTCATGGGCAGCTACCACAGCAGCAATAACCAGCACGCGGGCGACTCGGAGAACGGAGACCTCAACTCCAGTGTGGGTGAGTGCGTCAAGCACCCCTTCACTCACTCCGCGGCCCCCGCCGCCTCACTCCCGCGCCGCGGTTCTAACCCGCCTCGCGCGCTCATGCTCCGCTGGCGCAATCCCCCAGAGGCACGGCGAAGCCCCCCCCTTGCGGCGCCACAGGGGTCGGTCCGCGGGAAGAGTCCCGTACCGAGGGAGGGCCACGGTGCCGCACGACCCTCTTCCGAAAACAGCAGTCTGTCGGCGTTTAACCACTCCATTGCTTCATCAGAGCTATTAGGGTCCCACATAAATCAATATCATGATGAGGGCAGAGTTCCAACCAGAAATGTGAAGAGTTAGGAAGCTAATAAACATAATAATTACCGTTTTTTTCTGTGGCCAAGATAAGCATTGATGTGCACTGTATTGGTTTACAGTTGTGAGCGGGCGAATCTCAGTGTGCTGTGAGGGCAAAGAGGTCAAGTGCCGTGCAGGAGCAGTGATCGTGCCTCCAGTCAGCCGGTGTAGTTAGTGCAGCCGGGGAGAAGTAGTGGTTCGTGTTCATTTTCATCACACCTTGTCTTTGGTCTGTGTGCACTTGAAGACTGATGTTTCTCTGACTTATTTATCCATCCTCTCATAGCTGATTCACCAACATCCATTCGCCAACAATGCAATGTGAAAAAAAAAGCATCTTTTGTATCACATCAAGCTGTTTCAATGAATATATGAATGCTTTAAATAATCTAAAAGCCCCGTCTATGGGGAAAAAAAACTTCCCAATGAAAGAAATAGAATGACGTCAATGCAATATTTCTAGAAACAAAGGAGAAATGTATTTCATAATATTTAATATAATAATATAATTATTATGATTGATATCATAATATTTATTATAATAAGTATTTAATTAAGTATTTAAGTTGTACTTTTGTGGTTATACTCTACTAAACTAAATGTTTCAGACCTTGATTTTAAAACCAATAAACATTTTATCCAGTGTAATACAGAGAAAAATGGTCCATTCTAACTGTTGGAACATAAAATATTATTTTTCTGGGAAAGAAATCACAGCTTTAAAAAGGATTAAAAATTCTTTTTATTAAATGGAATAAGATCAAATATAGGAATTCCTGGTAGCTTTTAGTGCATTTTGATTCTTATCTGAGAGAGGTCTTGATACACTGTAGCCAGTCTCACATCCTGAAATGGGATCTGAAAGGCTTGTGTAAGGGTAATTAGATTCCTTTGAATTCCCTGTTTAAGACAAACAGCACATTTCTAAACTGTTTTTACATCATGAGGTGGAAAAAATATTGTATATTGTATTACAGTACGTAGATTCCATTATTTAAAAAACAGAATTTATCTTGATAGAGAGGGGGATTTTAAATATCTCATACTTGGATCTTATTAAATTACTGCTAACAAAATGGGGGCTGCATTAAGACGTGCTATACACGTGGTTCACTGCTTGAACCAGAAAAAAATAGGCATAGTGTACAAATGTAAAATAAACATATGTTTTATTGTTTCTTGGGCTGTGGCTCCCAAGCTGAGTGTTTGATTTATCCTTCAAAAGTTTTGAATGTGATTATGATTTGCTGGAATTCGTAGTCAATCTTTGACACCGTGTGTTCTGGAAACAGGATGTATTATAAACATGTTTAACAAAGAAAATGCATGGGGAATGAGGTCATAACTGCGAGAAAAAAATGAGGCTAGGAGGTCACAGAAATAAAGATAAATGTGAATAAGAGCAGCGAGGCCATGGCAATGAAGCTAATAAGAAACTGTTTTATCTGCTACAATTTAAATTGTAACCTTGAGCACACAGCCTCCCACTAGAATAATAATTCTAGCAAAACAGCCACTGAAGGTGCAGAAAGTAAGGCATTAGCACTCTGAGTAAAATATATGGCAGTGACGCCTTTCTCCCCCATCCACAATCAATTGGATTCTTTTACTTTAATATTTACTTGCACCGATGAGATGCTAGTCTGCATGGTGATGAACAGTCTGCCACTGGCATTTGAAGGTGACCTGTCACTGCGTATGGACAAATCTCTCGCTTGCAGAAATGTACAAAATAAATCATTAAAGCAGGCAGCCTCTCATTCCTGGATTTAAATCACCTCAGATTTATGATTTGAATTAATGCTTCGTTTGGTCAAAGAAATGGTTGCCGAGACAAATGATGTGCAGTACTGAAGCCATCCTAATATTGATTACTGGATGTCTCTGCAATCTCTTGTTTATATCAAGCACTCTCTTGTGACAGGGTGGCCGATAGGAGCCACACAGACGATCAGGAGGAAAAATGTTGCAAGCTCTATTCAGCTAACTACACGACCAGCAGATTGCTTGGAAATATGATTGTCCATAGTATATTTCTGAAAGAAAGGAAGGGAGAAAGGTTTCGAAACTATGCATAAGGAGAGCTTTGATGCTACTTAATCTATTAGGGGCATTAATATAAAGATAGCCTTTAGCCTTAAAAACATTTTAAAAACCCACATCTGTCTCAAGAACATAATGTATAATGCACTTAATCACTGTTTTGATATTAAAGACTCTTCACATTACTTGCAGTGTGAAGCCACATTTTTATTTTTTTTCCTCTTCCTTTTATTTACCTTTATATTCCTAATGTTTTGGCATATGAATGCAACTGCACTGCAGAATAGAAGATTCTGCTCTTGGTATTTATATATATCATTGACAGATATAGCCATGACAGTATTCAGTGAGAACTTTTTTGGCAGCAATCCTTTCTGACTATAGTCCCTGTTGTTAACAATACCAGCAGGCTGATTAATAGGAAATGAGTTCATGCCTATTTAAAATAAATTGCTCAAACAGCTGCTTCCAGAAAAGTAAGAAATAAGTTCCTGTCTTTAAAAAAAAATAAAATATAATTCTTAAGACTGCAGTGTAGATGTGTTTATGTACTGTACACACCTTGCACTTTCCTGTTATTTGTGTTTAAATATAATTTACATAAAGAGTAGGAGGGACTAAAACGCATTCTGTGGGTATTCATTTTTTTTAAATCGATGGAAATGACCATACAGATTGCTATGATAACAAAGGAAGACTACTGCAAATTTAAAAATTACAATTTTGATGTGTTATTTCAGATGTTAGTCTGTACGGTATAGCCTAGATAACCAATCAAAAGTCCGAACATACATATGTAAGATACAAGAATAGTTTGAATCAGTTAAAAAGTTTAACAAGCTGTACTGATCATGTTTATTTTTATTTTAAATTCTGTAGAAATCCTTTTACTTTTACCATTGACTTTAAATTGCATAGATCTTTCATCTTTAATTACAGACCACTTTTACTGAAGGAAATCTATTGTGTTTATTTTGCTGCTGTGTTAAAAATAGCAGATATGGCATGTGAAGGACATTTTGTGCTCTACTTAAATCATTTGTGTTGTCTCTATATAGATCTAAATTGAGCTGGCCAATGTTTGTTCTGCATTAAATATTCAAAACAATTACTCTCTTCTGAGTGCATCAGTGTTGTTAATTATATCAACGAATTAAACTGAAATCCAACTTACTTTGTTTAAACTTTTGCTTAAAATGTTAGAATATCTAGGCTGTTGAGCCCATTCAAGAAAAAAAACAAACAAATTTTAATCTTTTTGATTTTCATTTTGGGCTGGGAGAGTGGGTTATTGCAAAGACTCACAGGAAATTCCCTAATTACAGCTTGAAACCAAACAAAAACATTCCTTTGACATACTTGCTGCAAAGAAAGAAATAGCGATTAATTCCTTCTTATTGAATTGACCTGAACAGAACCTTTATTGTCAAAAGTAAAGCTGTGGCCATTTCCCCCCTTCTTGCAGACACATGTGCGCCTATTTAAAGAAAGGGAATATTTTATAGGCTCGGGAAAAAAAAAATTCTCTGAGACCTTGAGCTGAAGAAAAGAAAACTTTGCCTTGCTGGCCACTGGGTGCAGTTTTACATCTGATTCCTCGCCTCGGCAACGTTAATGGACCTCAAAGACTCTCCATAATTAGATGAGGGAATTGCGTGTATTATCAAGCAGATGATGCTACTATAATGAAACGATTGACAGGGAATTTAGGGCTGTGTACAACAGTCATTTAACTCCAGAAGTTAGTTACAAAATGCAGCTTTCGACATGGACTCCATTGAAAAGCCCTAAGAGAGGGAACAGTGACGTGCACTGCAAGACGTGACAGGTGTCTCTTCTCAGTTAGGAATTAAAATAGAAGGAGAAATAGATGATGGGAAGGCATCCCACTATTCATAGGGTCATCCTGCTAATTCCAGCATGCTTCTTTGCAGAAGGAGGCCAAGACTCGAGAGATGTGTCTGGATTGAGACCGCAGCTGTAACCACGATGAGCTAATTGGTCCTTATCTCACAGTCCCATTCATCTTCATTTTTTACCAATTACTGAGAATTATCTGTGTTCTCAGTTGGATATGAGAGTTAATCCTTTTTGGTTAAGCTGGTGGTACAGTTTTCAGATTTCAAATGCAGGGGGTAAAAAAGTCAGGGCAAAGCGAACTCAGTAAACACCTCATTGCCACTCACTGTAGTGTATCCATAAAAAAACAAAACAAATCACAAGAGATGAAAAAAGGGTTTAAAAAATATTTTGTCTCTGCAAAAGATGCATCAGAAAACAAGATAATTAGGGTAAATGTAGTTCAGGAGCTTTCTAAAAATTATCAACAAATTAGTCACTGCTTTGTCTTGGTTCAAGTTTCTCATTTCTGAATGTAGCATTTAAATGGATTTATCTTGTGCAAAACAACCTGCTCATTACTGACTTCTGGAAAGGATGTTAACTGAAATTTTAAATGGTGATGCTGTATAATAGAAGACAATAGTTATTTTACTGATTTGTTTTGCAGTTTTTGATTAAACAGAACATTCTATTAATCCTGATTTGTTTTTCCCACAATTATATTTCCCCTTTTGGTGATGTCAGTAACATTCATATATAAATTCATATAAATCATATGTAAAATATACGTAT